AGATATTACTTCTCAGGGGATTAGATAGGGTTTTGATTTGGACTCTACAAACACTATTTACACTATAATTGAGTAAAATTTAAAACTAGTATAGATCTTCGATTGACTTCTGTCTGAACCTCATAATTCGACTCATAACGTTTACGAGTATGTCAAATTATAGAAATGTTTTAAAAATCTACAATCAATATGTACAAACAGGTATCCTATTTACAACTCAATATGGAATGTAGTCGCAGCAGATGAAATAAAAACTGTACTATAAACAACTCAGAAATGTCAAAAGCTTAAAATAATGATTGCATTATAACAAGTCGAATGCGCTCCGTCTCACGGGGCTAGCGCATCGCGGGCGCAGGTAAATCGCATCTGTTGCCAGATATAATTATAACGGACAGGTGGGCAAAGCACCTTGCATCCCAATGGCTCCCTGCGGCCTTGCGTCCATCTCGAGACCGGACAAACCTTAAATCTACATTAAATTGTTTACTACCAACACACTATGCGTTTAATAAAAACAAAACAAAAACCAATCTGACAAGATTTTAGCATATATCCATATCGATAATACAAGAAATGACACTGTATTTATTAAAGGATATATTGGTTACTTGGCAATGTGTTTTAAAATGCAAAGACAAAGTAAAAAAGAAAAATATCTTGTGGTCAGAAAGGACCATAGATAATTTTGACCGATTCTATTGTTGACAAAGAAAGCAACAAAACTGAACGAAATTTGTATAGCGCAAGGATTTATGGACCCAAAATCGGAAAGTAAACGCTGGGAACGGTGTTTAAACGTCGCGTAGCATTTTGCACAATGCGAGTGGTTCATTGTTATAAGAATAAGGAAGGAGCTTGCAGCTGCCAGGTTTGTGCCGCGCCGCGCCGCTGTCCCCGTCTGCATCTTTGTACGTACCTACCTCCGGACAATAGCGTCGGAATAATGGTAATTTACATCTTAAGTCTTTCTGCCAAATCGCAGCTGCTCACATTTCGCGACTCGCCACGCCGCTGTTATAATTTTATATTTGCGGCCTTTTAATCATCTGATCGATAAATAGCGCAAGGAATTGCATTAGTTTCTTTGTACTGATTCACTTTGTTACTTTAGTAGGGGACCGTTAAGCTTTTGTCTATCAAATCTACTAGATATAAATATTCCCTTCAAGAATATTTATTGGCAAAATGTGAAAAGATCTTTAAAGGGATTCGTTAAGTTGTACTGTACTTTAACGCTTTTTTGTCCAACAATCAATGAGAGTACAATTCTAGAATGTATTGTACAATAGCATCTTAATTCATAAATTAATTACTTTTTCTACAACTTGTAAACAAGGAACTGCAGTGCATTATTTCTTTGAAGACAATTAAAGCCTCAATGGGCAATGGCCAGTGGTCAGTGGCCAGTGCAGTACACGCAGGTAACGGTGGGCGTAGTGAAGCGGATCGTCTTAGCGTTGGGTGCTCGGGCCAAGACGGCAGATGTGGCGGCACCTGGCCCATCGACCGCGACCCTTACGCCCGCCGAAGGGTCACTGGCCACCTACGCCCTTCCTTACATGTGCCCTTACCTTCTTCACGCTATGAATACGTTATGAAAAAACAACTTGCTACACGCGAACGCTTTAATGTTTTTAATCAGAAAAACATGCTTAGTTAACGAGCTAAGTTCAACCAAAGTCGTTACTGGATAATCGTTATATGAAAGGGTTATATTATTCATACGGTTAAACAACATTTAACTTTATTACAAAGTTAAAAAGTTACAGTACGATGTGATTAAGTAGTTTCCTTTTAATTCAAAATATAGTTTTATTTTATCAGAATATAAATAACTATAATTCTGAATTTCCAAACTTTTAAATATCCTCTAAATTAATTAAAAGCAATAAAATAAAATAATTATACCGATTTATTATGAACGGCTCATTAAAAATCACATAACATGACGGAACTGGCGATATCGGGCGTAATCTGTAGCTGAGCGGGCATCGGAGCGGCGCGGGCGGTTGACGACAGGTTGGCCGACAGTTGAGGCCGACATCTGTCGCCGACACGCGCGGGCCAACCACCTTAGACAACACCCCCGCGTCTTACACATCTAATTGTCGTAACAAACTCTCCTTGCCCGACAGTTAACGCTGACATCTGCCACCGACGGACCATCGATAACCCAAACACCCCCACGTCTAATTGTCGTAAACTTAGCTGACACAACTTTCAAACAGACGACAGGAACCGTTAAGTTCCGTTTGACAAACCTGCCTCACACCCTAAGCGTATTCAAAATAGATAGCCAAAGTGCAAGGGTTGCAAATAGCAAATTATTGTCCCCGCTAATGTGAAACCGGTCGTAATTCAATACGGCACATCCCTCGTCGAGACTTTTATGTCTTCATACAGATTGAAGCACTACGGATATTTGGAACAAAAAATAACAACTGCAGAATTTTCACAAAGGGTTTATCAACTTTTTCGATAAATCTGTGCAAATGCTAATAGAATTGCTAGTTATACGCTTTTTGACATTGTATGGAGAAATGCAAAGTCTATTGAACTCTCGCCCCTTACAAAAAATATAGGTTCACCCTCCGTTACTTTAGGCTATGTAAAGCACTAAGTAAAATCTTAACAAAGCCCTTGAGTGTAGGTCGACTTTCGGTGTGCAGTTGTTTAAAGGCGATGTCAATGTAAAGGAGCTAAATATCGAGTTAGATAGCTTAGGGTGTTGGGCCAGGTGCGCGCTGAGACGGTCCCCGTGGGGCGCAGTCGCGGGGCGGCCGGGACAAAGGCCGCGGGACGTCTTCACGTATTGTCGCCGATCAGCTGTCGCGGTTCCTCTACAGAACTCATAAGCCACGACCGTGACACTGTTACACAAAATCTTAATTTCTATACTCGTATTTTAAGTGACAAGCTCCGATTTCAAATGTTCTAATACAACTTTTAAAAATTCCAACATCTGCAATACGAGGATTTAATTTAGATTTTGATACTTGAAACGTAGATCCAACATACAATATTGTGTTTATTAAAGTGTGTAAAAATTGCAGTGTAACATGCAAATTCTAAAATACGTATAAACCCATGAATTAAAAAATAAAACAAAATAAACATAACAAAGGTCAATGAAATGGATACCCATTCTTTTCAACTACTTAAAGAACAACTTGGTACTCGAATTACAATAAAATTATATGGCAAAATGGTTGTAAATTAAAGCCGAGTGTTAAGATCAAAGGGTCGAAGGGTCAAGGAGTGTTATTAACCTGTTAACACCTCCGGTAATTCACGATCGGTTACTGGCAATTATATCACTTCCGGAGTCCTGACGACACGGGTATGACCGTCATAAACTAAACATTTCCTTACAATGCTCGCCACTACAGCGGGGAGATTGTTAATAGATAATGAATGCTTTAACACGATCTTGTAAACAGAAACTAGTTTAATATAGGGAATTTGAAGAAAGAGGGATCATATATAATTCATAATTATGCTACGTACACTAAATATTAACCTTTGGAGTATATGGAAAATTTCTTTATACTAATGTAAAATAGATAAGGAGTTTAGTCTAGTTTAATAGTACCTTACCGTTGGTTGATTTGAAACGTAGGGTATAAGAAGAAAAAAGTAATTAAGAAATCAAATATTTTTACCAATTTCTTAATTTAAATACATTCCAAGTGCGAATAATAAAATCTTAATAACAAAATATATTTTAAAAAATTGCAACATGCAATTCGACAATAGGAGTCGCAACTGGGCAGGGGTCAGAGGGATAGGGGCTGACAGTGAGGGTTGGCACAAGGTGTGCGATATCAGTGCTACGGCATGTGCGTTCCGATACACGCACCGGCCCTCTAGCTTTATGCCATGCCATGCGCGCACGCACTTAAATCCATTACAAATAAAGGGAGGTACACCCTGTATTGTAATGCACGATTAAAATTGCTCCCTCTCGCCGTAAAGTTATTTAATCGTAGCGTAACAATCATTAAAAATGTTCAAATATTTTTTAATGCTAAAATGCTTACGGTACTGCTTCGAAACTAACTACACTAAGCACGCTTACAATAATCATCTTAATTTTAATATTATAATTAAACTAATGAATATTCTTATATCATGTAGTTAATGAAGACATAGTAATCAAAAAAAAATTCCCACATAAATTAATTAAAACGAAAGTTATAATAGCTGTTAATAAATATTTACCGTGACATACATTTAAACAACGTTTAAATTAAATAAACACCAAGTAATTGTTATTGATTAATGTTAATGAACGCAGAGCCAAGACAAATAATATGTGGCTTTCCACCCGCATACTGAGTCAAACTTACACGATTTATGTTTTGCTTAATAATGTCGACATTTCGTGTTGGATGAGAGACCTTAAAACCACGATAAAGTGTATTTTACATTGTACAATTAATGACTCACTTCGCCCTTTAATGACTTCGGCAATACGTTTTGTACACGATAAATAATGTCCTTGAAAATGTTTCCATAATCAAGTTCGTACAATCAGTATGTCGTATACAACTATGAGTTTTCACTCTCGAGTAAATTTTACTAAGAGGAGGCTATAGAATGGTTAACATTAGTCAAAATCCACAGACCAGCTAATCACAACTGACAGCTTTTGTTTTTTTTTCGTAACATCTATATTTCGTTACTCACCAGTATAGCAGACCGAGGTGAGTGTGAGAGCATGTGTCCGGACCAAAGCGTTGTCTCTTCCCCAAGGGAGGCGCGCCAGGAAAGGGTCAACGAAGTCAAATGCTGTCGCTATCGACAGCTGCCAGTTCAATCGCTGCAGCAGCATCACTTCCCATTGCTGTAACAAATGTTAACCTTTAATATACATTGGCAAACATAATTTAAACAGACGTTCTGAGGTTTGTATGTAATTTACTTAAAATGTTAAATAGGGAAATTACGACGACAGTTACAGCTATAAAACAGTTAGTTCCGAATTTATTTGAAATTATACCGAAATGCGGTTAACCGACTTCCTTCCAAACTAGATTAACTATTAATCGCTAAATGTTTTAAGCTGGGTACTCACCAACGTAACATTTAATGTAACCTATCGGGGAACTAGTAACTGAGGTAATGTTGCTCAGTACAAAGCTTTATGCCAGTTATCGTATATGATACAAATAGATGTCTATTGTTATTTAAATTACCCATTTTTATCTAAATATAGTCTTATTATCTAATTGTTTAAGTCTTATTATTAAAATCGTAGTCAATTTCGCAAGTACGAGTATATAGGTATTTTGAAATTAAACAATATTTGGTTAACGATGTGTGTCTTAAGAGGGACAAAACCCTCCTCAGTGTTTACTGACACTCGGCAATTGAATCGTAACCGTCATACACGATGGATCAGGCGGAAACCGCAAAAAATAGCAAAGTACAAAGATTGAAATGGAAAGGGCCAGACGAAGAAACAGGTTATGTTTATGTATTCAGATAGATGCAAGGGTGGGCGATTACCGTTTGAATACGGTTAAATCTTTTGTTGCAAACCTACTTTGATATTGATAAACATTTTAAGCTACTATTAGCTAATTTATCTTAAAACAATAATAACATGTTTTGTCTTCCAGTTATCGAGTCACTTATAATAGTTAAAATGTGATGTTTTTAATTCCGATATTATTTCAGTCGTGAACCCTGTGGAAGTTCATTAAACCCATAGATAATACGAGCCCAGATAAGACATCTAATGATCCACTCCAACAAAAATAAACATCCCCTTTTATACGATCTCTTATCGTCTATGAATTCTCAAATTACTAATAAATTATGATACGCCGAAGATAAAAATTAAAAACAATACATAAAGAAATAGAGCATTATCGTATTTTAATTTAAATAAATTCGTGTGAAAGAAAACAGTTGGTTTATATTTCACGCGCGATGGACTACGTAAAAGTTAAAGCGTGCAAAGGTGAAGTACTCGTATGGGAAACGAATATTTCCGTGGCATATGATGTCATTGTATATGCGCGTCGTATGCTTATCGGTGTCATCGAACGAATTAATTGCAAGGAAGGATGTCCCTACGCCATAAGGTGCAAGTAGACCCATATTCAAAACCAGTTGGTTTCCCACGGTCTATGCAACTAATACACATGTTGTTACGTAAAAACACATCTTAAGTTACCGTATGGTTTATCAATAAATACTATTTTATATAGGTAGGCTTATGTTATAAGCGTAACTTAATCATTCAAAAATGCAGGAATGTAGAATAGCTATTATGACGAATTTATCATAAGGAATCCAAGAAAATTGTCATCTTTTGCGATTGTAAGCATATGACTTTGTCTTCAATCAATATTATAATCCAGTGGCAAGATTGATAAGAAGGTGAAAAGCTAGTGGGATAGATACATAATTATATGGGCTATGTATTCATTACACAGTACATAAGTGACATGTGACAAAGTGTAACAACAATGGCGTGTGAAGCGGCGTGGAAGTCAAACACTCACGCGCATTAGCGAGCAATTGATGGAATCACACCTGTCTACCTGACCGCCGCAACGCTGGCATTGCCTCCACTGCGGTCACACAATATCACAATTATGGTGATATCAATTATTGTAATAAACTTCGGTGGGAAAATATAATAAAACTTGACTGTGTTTTTCTTCGAAAAGTGACTTGTTGACTAAGTTAGTTTGGACTTTAAGTTGATTCAACCGTAAATACTTTTCCTATAATTGGGGCATCAGCTAATAAAGCTAAATGCGTTAATTACGTGAACATTTCGTGATATGAGGAAGCTTCTTATCACATGTATCAGAGCATCTACCCACATTTCCGTCGGAAACGGGCGGCCTATTGAATACCGTCGTCACAGACAACAGCTACTTGTAAGAAGGGCGACAAATTGTTGGTGGGCCTTAGATCGTGACAGTCGCGGAAGAAAGTAATTACCGGAAACTCACAGGCGACTTTAAGGAAGAGGCCAATATAATGCCACCTTAGTTGAGG